GAACAGTGAGTTGTGTGGGCGCCCAGTCGCCATAGCCAGTTGAAGAGAACTCATATCTGGTTACGATATCTTGAGTATTGTGTGGGCGCATGTCGCCAGTTGCTGTTTCGCTGTTTGCATACATGACAAGTGTGAAGAAGTCGAGTATGATTGCAGAAACATGTACACATTCCTTGTGGAAAACTAGCAGTCGCCTATACTGCGAATGGGCACAATAACAAACAGGGAATGAACGGTTAGGATGCGGCTAATGAAAGCAGTCCACCCAGTCGTCCGTCATGGTGGCAAGCACACTGCTCTACGTAGAGTGCCACCGGCGTCGATCGCAAGTGACAAGGCCGGTACGCATGCTAGAAGCCAGAACAAAGAACTCACCGATAACATATGCAATGCTGCAAGACCACCCCTTGTCTACACAAAGCGCATGTGATACAAGCATGAGAAGGGTGAGAACAGAAAAGCGTAATCGGCAGTGAACCCCTCCCTGGTGGGTGCAGCAAAGATCGCCACAGAAACATGTATGCATTCCTTGTGGAAAACTAGCAGGGTACGCATTCCTTGTAGAAAACTAGCAGGGTACGCATTCCTTGTGAGAACAGAAAAGCGTAATCGGCAGTGCCAGAGGAAAATAGATTCGCATGAACATATGCCATGAGCAAGCCATGCATAAGCCATGCATCATCGAGACACCATAAGGTCCGATTTCTTTTCCACCTCCATACTTGCAATATATGAAACTGAACACATGAGTAGTTTATAATCTTGAGAAGAAATTGACACCAATGAAACAGACACCTGCCAAACTTGCTAGCCATTTGTGACCTTCCACATACCTGGCCAAGTACAGGAGGATTTCAACAGCAGCCATCTTGACTAAGTACTTCACAGAACTACGCGCGTTGACACGTGTGCTTCACCTTTGCTGTCACTCCCAAGATAAAATCGCTTATTTGACGATAATAATCTTGTAAAGAAAATGACACCGACGGGATCTGCAAAGCTTGCTTGGTAAGCTATATTTGCCCCATATCTGGCCAAGTACCAGATTTCGACAACCGCTGCAACTTTAGTACTTCACAAAACTACAAGATTTGGAGCGTTTACACATGCTACTTCACCTTTGCTGCCAGTCACAGGCGGCTACATAATTTGTTCCAAATGAGGGAAAGGACAGAAACATGTCCGCTGTCGTCGACCCCGATGAGACTGTCACACAATGCCAAAATAGGAAGCCCGAAACGGCGAAACTGGATACGACGAGACAAATCCATCAGAGACACAAGGATGACAAACAGGACACCGCACAGTAGATATCAGTAAACAAGCAGAGAGTCGAGTCATCCTAATTATTCTGCATTGGGGGAGGAGGGGATGGGAAGCAAGGAGAGGGAGGTGGGGGGGGATGTAGGGGGGAAGAGGAGAGGGAGTCGATAAACCTCTCATAGGCGTGCTCTCTCGTTGAAAAAGAAGTCATAACCAACAACACAGTGAACACATGCAGAAACGATGGACCAGCAATCCTGCCATGCAACGCTCAACATATTTTGTACCGCGAGACCTGTCCTGGGCCCGCAAGCCCTCGTAACACAGAGCCAGAGCTCCACGCAGTTCATCATACTACTTCAATCTCCACGACGCACTTCAGAACCATCCTGTAAGAATGTACCTTGGCCGTTCAGAAGACCAGGTGCATCATGTGAACGGGGGAAATTCAACCGTCCGCACACATTTTCTGACGGGGTTGGCTGCCAATGACAAAGTCTGATCCAGCATCTAAGACAAGGCATGCTCCCATGCGTCATCCCTCCACAGGTCTTGTTTTATCAAGCTTCTCCTGACAACCGACTGCGCTGAGAGGGCCTGGAAGAGGAAGGGAGGGATCCGCACTCTTGGTACTTAGCCGTTATGGCATTGCTCTGAGCTCATGACATTCAAGCGAAGCTCAGTGATGCTCCCAGTACTGTGCTTTCACTCTGGGTAGACTGCGACTGCGGCCTCCTGATCGTTATTGCAATGAAGTGTCTCCTGATAACGGGCACCTCCAGAGCCTCTGTTTGACACATTCGGCCTCTTCCCAGCCAGAGAGAACCTGCCCGTCATGCGAACCCTGTTCATGCCGCATTTAGCACAGCGACAGCATCAGAATGGAGTCCAGTCCCGAGTCTGCGTGCAGTCATATTTGACAGAAGCTACAACCCCAAGTGATGTGACGGTTGGGCAGAATGACTCGATCAATGCAAACCTTAGCTGGAAAATCTGCAATTCTTTTTGTTTTTTTTTTGGAAATTCTGCAATTCTATAGACATAAATGACAGAATAGCATCCTTTGGAACATCGGTTGAAAGTGGAACGATAGAGAGAAGATGAACATCCTTTGACCCCTGCACAAGGATGACCACGCAAATTGAGAAATTGACCCAAAAAATTGAAAAAAAAAAAGAACAAAAGCAAACCAACGACTACTATACATGCATGATGAGCATTTTTCAATCTATTTGCCTCAGGGGACCAAGGCTGAAGGGCCTTCCGATGACTTCTCCTTTTCACCTTGCAGCACCGAGCGGTAGCGCTAGCTTAATTCAAATGCTGCCACTCTCTGGTACCCATCCGTGCCACCTTTCGGGGTTTCCTTGGGGACGGATTTCACTCTGCAGGGCTAAACTTTTACCTTTTCCGGTTACTCTCGTGATAATCCCAGTCAGATACAATACAGTAAACCCCTACCCGAGTACCACAGGGACCTAAATTAGGCTGTACGCAGAAGAGTATCTACTCGAGCATCTTGGGTTCTGCCACACGGTTTTCTAATAAAGCTGCACTCCGATGAAGTGAACACCACACGTTTTCGGTGTTTCTGTGAAGCTGTTAAAACACCGGTTCACCCAATGCTAAGTTGAGCTCAAGCAAATCTACTTCATTTACAGTGCTTGCTGTGGTTCAGAGTGAAAAGGACCAGTCCCAACGGCAAACAATGGACATTTGACATGCTTACCTGACATTCGTGCACACTGTGGTGATGACCAACTCACTTTCAACAGTGCATGCAGGTGAATTACTGCAGTCGCTCAACTGATTTTGGTGCAGATTTCCTTGCATTGCCATACACAGAGCGACTCATCGAAGGATCCCACCCCTTGCTGACAGTGATTTACCCTACGAGGGGCCCGCCAACTGTCATTCAACAACCCATACTCAGGAACTGAGCCCCTCCTAGGCTACAGCTGCATCGTCGGTGACCTGCCTGGGTTCAGCTTGCTAGGCCGTGCACTAACTACGTCTGGTCTCTGAAACCCGTGCGTGCGCATTTAGAGGAAAGGTGGCATCCATTGATAGGCGAAAATCGGGACACCTGGACCCCAACTCCAGGGGCACTCTGCATTCCAAACGAAATGCGCATTTCGCACACAGCTGACCGCAGGGAACTCTACCTCTCTTGAAAGTAGCTGCTCACTACCTGCTGTGGTTCTGTCAGAGGCCCAATTACCTGTTCCTCTGTCAGGACAAGCGCATCGACAAGGCAAGGGCACCAAGTCCCTGACCTACCAGTCGTCTGTCGGGAGAAGGGCAGCAAGTCCCCCTAACACATCGACACCAACCATTTTTCTTCAATCCTGCAGCAAACCCTAACCCAACAGCTTGTCTTCTCGCTGTGTGGCAACTGCATCATTCTTCCCCTTACCGAATCGTCCTTTGCAATGCTTCGTCTTCCCCGACTCTCCCTTCTGAAGATGAAGCTCAGACTGATGCAGCGATCCTGTGAGACCTTGCAGCTATATCCTCAGCTCGGCTGCAAAGCACCCCTTCATAGCTGCCAGAGTCTGTCGGTTTTCTCCATGCAGGACTGCAACCCTTACTCAAACACTCCCACAGGATGGCCTACAGGCACTAGAGCACTTTCAGATAGAAGGGGACTTCCTCACGAAACACAGCACAGCTAGACGTCGGACATCTTACGTACAGAGGCCCAGACAATTTGTCACGGATCCATATCCGGATCCTAGAAAGCACTCAATTCCCCTACACCTTTAACGTGGCACAGACGTGGACATCATTCCCGCCCCTGCCCCTAGAAAAAAACTCACCATCAAAGAGGTGGCCTCTGGCACTGCTTCCATCACACTGGGTCTGGAGCCATCTACAAACCTTGAATGTGTGGATGCTCTCCTCTCCCTCCTCTCGTCTTCACCCAAATAGAATGCCCGGTCATTATAACTGAATTTGTGCAACTTGCTGTCCAAATACAGTGGTAATCACTGGAGGTTGTTCTATTCGGGTGACGACAATAGCTTCTGCAGGCATTGCATGGACAATGGGACCATGAAGACTGCTGGGCACACACTTGTGGTCCCAGCTCTTCCTCTTCAACTCAACAGAATTCCCTCCTCCTCCTCCTCCTCCTCCTCCTCCTGCTGCATGAAACACTTCTCCTCGGAGATTCCTTTTTCTGTTCGCCATGCCAAACTGTACACACGCGCGAGAGCACGCTCTAAGCATCATCTGTGTTGTCATCTCCTTCAAAGTATTTCACACGTAGTCATCTCTCTAAAAACAGCAACAGAAGTCTTACTTGTTGATTACAACATTAAGTGTCTGCCTTCTGAATTCCATCTACAGTACACTCCCTCTTACAGGGTCAGCCGTCAGAAACACTACGCACAAATTCTGGCACAGATTTTTTGAGTCAGTGATCATGAGACCTCCTGCTCTTAACACTTCTCACGAAGCTCAGTGTCACGAGATCCCGTACCTTACCCGATCATCCAGCGCCTTCATCCCAGAAACAATACTCTCTTCATATCACTAGTAGCCTCTCCGTGCACAATGAAGGGCTCTCCTTCCCCAGTCTGCTCTCCCTCTTCATGTCCATAACACATGGGCAATCAATCCATTGCTGCACCGTTTTCAGCTTAACGGATTTCCTAGCGCTGCATTCGCTGACCAGATTCCCCAGTGTGAAGACGATCCTAGAGTGTTCTTGAATGTCTACATCGGTGAGCCTTAAGCTGCTCGGGCGTTCATCGCGAGTCGACCAGTGCAGAACAAGGACCTCACCATCATGATGTTCAGCAGGTTGGAAAACAACGCATAGGTTGGTTGCTTTCTATTCGAATACAAAGCATATGCGCTCTACTCAAGCAGCTCTGATATTTGAATACAACGCACATGCGATCTATTCGTATCATTGACTTTTTTTCCAAAAAACTCAAATACAACGCATATGTGTTGTATTCAAACAGCTCTGATATTCGAATGCAACGCACATGCGCTGTATTCGTATCATCGACTTTTTTTCCCGAAAACTCGAATACAACGCATATGCATTATGGCCGGAGGAAGATGGTAGTATGTCCTCACTGAGTGATGGCATGCCCATCTGCAACGCTCCAGCTATTCATACCGCAATCAGCCCAAAACCAAGCATTCAAAAAAAAAAAAAAGATCGAGCAATTACGTAAGGCATATGGAGATCAGCAAGTTCAGCTGCTGCTGTTCCGTGCTCAGCCAAAGTGGTTAAGCAGCAGTGCAGACAATGTCCAGAGACGCACGCCAGGACAATGCATGAAAACAGTGATCAAGTCCGGATGCAACAAAGT